GGATATAAAGATATGAAAATCAGGTTGGCACATGGGAATTGACGCTTTTCTATTTTGCTACACCAAACACCAACCTCTTTGTTTAGGGGACAATTTAAGTTATTCATTTTTTCTTTTCTTTTTTGTACAATAATTCAAGTTAATTCAACCCCATCCTTGGGCTTCGGCTTAATGGCTAAGACTATTGGTTAGTAAAGACCACCATTGTAACAACGATGTGGTCTCATTAAGTAACTTATTTTTTTAAAAATAAAATATCGAATTCAAATTTTATGAGTAAAAATATAAATTGAAAGAGTTTCTTTAATAAGATTTTATAACTTAATTTTAAATTAATTAAAATTTAATATGATTAGTAAATATCAATAGATTAGTAAAAGAAAAAAGGACCACTCTCCTTGAATTGCATTTTAAAATTCCATAAGATCTCATTTCCTCAATTTCCACATCTAAAATAGGCATTAATTGTTTTGGTTAAAAGAAACAGTAATTCAACCCTCAATAACACTGCATTGCAAAGAAGTAACAAATAAAAGAAAGTTTTCAACTCTCAATAATACTCCATGGTAAAGAAGCAATAAATATATGAATAATAATAAATATACATAAATAATTAATTTTTATAATACACATACAAAATTCACAAAAATTAATTTTTATTTTAACATCTTTACTACAGAAGTAATTTTAATTTATAGAAGTAATTTTTAAATACCTTCTTTTATAATTAATATACATAAAAATCATAAAAATTAATTTTTATTTTAATAATATTATTAATAAAATAATTTTAATTAATCAATTAATTAAATTAAAATTACTAAAAAAATGAATAAAGAGGGTGATATTTTATAATTTAGTGGAATAACAATGGTAAACCACTTTTTTAAATATAAAGTCATTTGGTAATTTAAGGTTGATGTTAAATAAAAGGGGGAAAAAAAAAAGGAATTTTGATTTTAAAGGTGTGAATTGAAAAACATTAATGTTGCTAATTGAACCACAAACTTTTTTCTTTTTTTTGTTAGATGGCAAGATACGCTTTTGATGCTTTGTGCGTAGAACCTTAGTTTGTGTTCCTATTTTAATTATGTTTTTTTGTTGTGTAGCTGCCTTAATTGAATTAGTCAGTTGAGGATGCCTAATTGGATTTGAAGATTCGTTAATTGGGTTTGGTAATTTCGCAGGATATAAAGATATGAAAATCAGGTTGGCACATG